GTTTTTGTAATCTGAAAATATAAAAATGCAAGGTAACTAATGGTAAAAGTGAGCACAAACGGTATTGCAATGCTAGGAAACAAGGCCTAGGGTTCATACTTTCACTAGTGCAAGTTCTCTCAACAATAATAACATAATTGGATCATATAACTATCTCTCAACATGCAACAAAGAGTAACTCCAAAGTCAGTAATAGCGGAGAACAAACGAAGAGATTATGGTAGGGTACGAAACCACCTCAAAGTTATCCTTTCTGATCGATCTATTCAAGAGTCCGTAGTAAAATAACATGAAGCTATTATTTCCGTTCGATCTATCATAGAGTTCGTACTAGAATAACACCTTAAGATACAAATCAATCAAAACCCTAATGTCACCTAGATACTCCAACGTCACCTCAAGTATCCGTGGGTATGATTATACGATATGCATCACACAATCTCATATTCATCTATTCAACCAACACAAAGAACTTCAAAGAGTGCCCCAAAGTTTCTACCGGAGACTCAAGACGAAAACGTGTGCCAACCCCTATGCATAAGTTCACGAGGTCACGGAACTCGCAAGTTGATCACCAAAACATACATCAAGTGGATCACGTGATATCCCATTGTCACCACAGATAAGCACATGCAAGACATACATCAAGTGTTCTCAAATCCTTAAAGACTCAATCCGATAAGACAACTTCAAAGGGAAAACTCAATTCATCACAAGAGAGTAGAGGGGGAGAAACATCATAAGATCCAACTATAATAGCAAAGCTCGCGATACATCAAGATCGTGCTGACTCAAGAACACGAGAGAGAGAGAGAGAGAGAGAGAGAGAGAGAGAGAGATCAAACACATAGCTACTGGTACATACCCTCGGCCCTGAGGGAAAACTACTCCCTCCTCGTCATGGAGAGCACCGGGATGATGAAGATGGCCACCGGAGAGGGATTCCCCCCTCCGACAGGGTGCCAGAACAGGTCTAGATTGGTTTTCGGTGGCTATGGAGGCTTCTGGTGACGGAACTCCCGATATATTGTGCTCCTCGATGTTTTTAGGGTATATGGACATATATAGGCGAAAGAAGTCGGTCAGGGGAGCCACGAGGGTGGGGGTGCGCCCAGGGGGGCAGGCACGCCTCCCTGCCTCGTGGCCACCTCGAAGCTTCATTGACTTCAACTCCAAGTCTCCTGGATCATGTTCGTTCCAAAAATCATGCTCCCGAAGGTTTCATTCCGTTTGGACTCTGTTTGATATTCCTTTTCTGTGAAACACTAAAATAAGGGGAAAAACAGAAACTGGCACTAGACTCTGGAGACGTATCAATTATCACCAAGCTTGCAGAAGATAATGTAAAGCTGGAGAAGAAACTGGCTGATCTGGAATGTACAATCAGTACAATGAAGCAAGAAAGAATCAATCACAAGCAACAGATGAAAGCAAGAGACAAGAAGGAACTAGCATGTGTAGTTGTGGTTGTCGCATTAGCCATGTTCTATGTGTTGTTTGCAATGATGATTAGGGATTTTGTTTGACAGTATTGCTAAAGAACATCTAGATGTGCTCTAAGTAATGCACATCTAGGTCCTATGCCATTGATGTTACGCGAAGATTCGTGCAGATATTTTCCTTTCTCTTTTTTTCTTTTCCTTTGTAGTTTGATTATTACTGGCTTTATCAATAAGAAGAGGTCAATGTATTGTTTGCCAACTATCCTACTCCGTTCATACCGGTACCGGTGCATAATCCCAAAACTTGTTCCTTCTTTTTGTCCTAAAAAATAAACTAGCCAACAGGAGTCCTACGCAACCCCGGAAATTTGGAGCGACTGGGTACAAATAATTGTGGTTGATTATATCAGCGGTTAGATAATACGTCAACCCCCGCTTCAATTGGCATTTACTCTTCTCTACATACCCCGCTTTAGTGTCCACCATCTTCATCGTCCCCGGCAAGCCGCGCTACACACTGGCACACACTCTGCAGCCATGTCGAGCGACAGCGAGAACGACAGTTCGTCCAGCAGTCTGGCGCCCGATGATAGGTCAACATCGGAATCATCCTGCTCGTCTTCCATGAGTCCGGCGTCGAGCCCAGACCTTGATTATATCCGGATCATGGAAGGGACGCCGCATCCGGAGTCGTCAGACGACAACCAGACGGACGAGGAGCCGTCGGTGGACGGAGAAGAGGACGACGATGAGGAGGAGGAGGAATGGTCGAACAAGGAGGAGGAGGACGACAACAGAAACGACGATGACAACAGCGGCGGCGATGAAAAGTCAACAATCAGCGGCAAGAAGCGTCCTCGCCAAGATGATGTCGCGGGGCCATCCAAGAAGAAGAAGAAGAAGAAGAAGGACTAAATTAAGCAGACTAAACATATCTCTTTTTCCGTTCGCTCATATTAATTTGTTATCTCTGTTAATCTTGTCAATCTCATCGCAGACGGTTAGTAATACGTATTCGAGAGAGATCTTCTACATTATCGCCCACATGTTGGTTTGTTGAACTGCATGCCCTGACGAGCACACAATTCACAAAAAAGACTGTATGGGCTATCTATAATGATCGCACACGATTCCGACTACCGACTTGTTTGTCGGGTATCACACACATCTTGTTACGCTGAATCGTTTGTGTTCACCTCGATCATCGCAAACAGTTCATCAAAGCGAACTGTATGACATATATCACACACACATTGATATGGCTGCCCATTTCTGTTGTTCTGTCTAATCGCAAACAGTTCGTATGGATCAACCTTATGCCTAGCATCGCACACGCAACTAAAATTTGAACCGTGTTTGATGTGCCCGCCATCGCAAATGTTTTGCACCTTGTTTGACGGTTATTTTACACCACTATTTGTAATTATTGCATCGCACACAGTTTTGTCGAAGAGTCTCTGATCGTAGTGTCGCGTTAGCAGCATCCTGCAGTAGTGCCTCGTCGAGTTCGTCCATATAAATAGGCTCGATAGAGCTCCAACATAAATTCATGTCGTCCCCTTGTGGTGGTGAGACTAGGGTACCTTGTCGTGCGTGTCTGACGACAAGATCTAGTGTCAGGCACTTTGAATCGATACAAGGGTTCAATGACGATGATTGTGGCTCCAGGATGATGGTCCTTAGAAGAACATGCACGAAGACTTCCCAATTATCACCAACAGGCCAAGTCGATTGCTTGTTCAGCTAGGAGAATAGTAATTGCATGTGAGTTAGCACATAAATACATTTTGGTAGGGGAGTGGCGATAATGGCGTGTCGGCTGCTCGTTCTGGCAGCGGTGATGGTCGTTCGATGGTTTGGGGAACTTCATGTAATTTTCATTATGTTTGGGGTGCTTTATACTTCTAATGAAGTTTTATAATATAGTTCTCGATGTTTTTTTGCAAAAAAAAATCTATTCCTACTAATAAAGGGAGGGTAGCTTATGTCCGTCTGTCATGCATTTTTATAAAAAAACCCTACCTTTTCTAGTAATTAACCCACAATCCACCTTTAAGTGACATGAAAATGATTCATCACACATTTTTGAAAAACCTCTGCTTTTCTTGTAATTATATATGTGATCCACCTGCAAAGGATAAAAAAACTGAGGGCTTGCATATAACAATCAACAAAAAAAGGTTGCTTCCTTTGAAACTTGAACTCACAAGCTCAAGTAATATAGTGACCTCAACAACCAGCTAGGCTACACATGTATTCATGTGCCAACTCATAGTTTTATTTTTACTTATACATTACATTGGTTGAACTCTCTCTTTAGCGGTTTAGAAAAGGAAATATGGACGCGAACCACCATGGAACCTCACGTACGTATGCTGCACAAACTAACTAATTCCACGGACACAGGATATATTCTTCATATTTGTTCATTGTTTGAATAATTTTCTTGCATACAACACAAAATCAAGGATCGGATCTTCTCCTACTAGTTGTGTCCAATTGAAACTGATGCAAAATTTATTTCAACATACCAACAATATATCACCACGACTTATGTTGTCATCGCACTTTCTCGTCACCCCCGACACATTAGAGCTTTTTCCCTTTCCCTGGTTGGACCCTCACAATTTCCGCATCGAGGAGGAAAATCCATTTAAAGAAAAAGACCTCGAACCATGCACCGTGGAGGGTAAATTTCATCATTCAGTCTATTTCAACCATTGCAAGCCTACATTGCGATATGTAAGAAGTTTTCCAATTAGTCGCATGCATCTACTCATTTAGATCCATCGCCCTATTGTTGTTGTCGGCCGTGCGCACCATAATCCGTGTCATCTGCCATCCATGGATGTGAACCAAAAATTGGCAACTCGGCAATCAACGTTTGTCGCCCATTTGCTTTGCATGTTTTTTCTGTACCCCAAAGCCGTAGAACCGTCGTTCTACGGTAATTTTGCTTTGCATGCTCACTAAGGAACATGTGCTGGTAATAGTATGTGTTTAAGATTTGCTCTAGAACAAAGCATGGATGTCGTGATAGGATTTGTTTCTCTCAATGCAGCACAAGGATCTGTGTGCTTGTAATTGCTAAGGTCGCACGGCACTTCTTAACTTGCCTTCACTTAATCTCTCATAGTTCTTCCTCCACGCCACACAATCAGTGAGCCCAAATGATTGATCAGTTCTTGTTCTCCGACCAAAAAATAATGGGAGCGAGTATATCCATCCACCCAACAGCTACTTTTCGTAAGCTAATTGGGCTAAGAGAAAACTAGCTAATCCTTTCCTTAAAAAACACTCACCTGCACGTATCCGATCATATCCACTTGTCTCTACGCCAAAGCCGGGTGCTACTGGCAGAAAACCAGGTGGAAACGCGAGGGCAGGCCCGTCATTTCAGCCAAGCAACTCCAGCGACTGAGCAACCACACCCGCACAATAAAGCCGGCTCACGCACTCCGCCCACTCCCTCTCAACCGCCGTCGCGTCTCCACTTTCCTCTCCATCTCACTCACTCTCCCCCTCCGCCGCCGGCGCAGCGTCCTCCCCGCGACTCCGATGGCCAGCAAGTGGGTCAGGCCCGAGGTGAGCTCCACGCCCAGATCCGGGCCATCCGCCCGCTCCTGCCACTCGCTCTTCTTCCGTTCGCTTATCTATCCTGTCTCGCGGCCGCGCAGGTGTACCCGCTGTTCGCGGCGACGGGCGTGGCCATCGGCATCTGCGCCTTTAGCCTCCTTCGCAACATCACCGGCAACCCAGAAGTCAGGTAAAGATCTCGACTGCTTGCAGTCCCCCCCTCCTCCTATCCCTGGCCGTTTATTTCTTGATTGAGAGAAACGAATCGGCCCCCTCCCTCGCTTGTTTGATTATTACTACATGGCTTGGCGTTGTACCGCTTATTAGTGGACAAGATAAGAGTAGATCTGCTGGATTATGGCCTGTTCGTGGTGGCTGGCCGCTGGGTGTTTGAGTGTTGACTTCGCTGCTACGGTCGATATCCATGTTTTTTCAGGTGAAAAATTTGTGGTCTTGGTTTCATTTGGGTCGGAGAATCGGTCCACGAGGGGTGAGAAGAGAACCATTTAGCCTTTTGGGGGAGATATCTTGCTTGTGCGCGTGGATTGTTGGTGAAATTATGCGGGATTTCGCAGTATATGATTTTCTATTCTGAGTATGATATTGTACCAATCATAGCTCCTGCAGACAGGAAGTCATGTGTGTTATCATGTGGGTTCTAATGGATAATGAAATATTGTACTAGTACATGATCTACTTTTTGTACTAGCAATTGTTTAGTGCACTTCGCATGATCGGGAGACGATCTTAACAAACCTTATCTGCATTGATGGTTATCTTAATAAATTTGTGGCAGCTCATCTTAATCTTGTTAGAGAAGAGCCTGAAACAACCTATACTTCTTAGTAACGATGTACTGAAATGATTTCATCTGCAGGGTCAACAAGATGGGGAGGGCAGCGGGAGTGCTTGAGAACCATGAGGAGGGCAGGCGCTACGCCGAGCACGGCCTCAGAGCCTATGTGCAGGACAAGACCCCCGAGATCATGCCAGGAATCAACAAGTTCTTCACCAGCCCAAAATGAAGCACTTTAGTCTGTCTGTGACTCGCTATTAGTAACTGTTGTGGTCAAGTGCAAACCTATTTCAAGCATTCAGTAATGTTGTTGCGTCCATAATTCAGAGGACATCGTCAATTACCTCTTATTGAAAGAACCATGTGATGTTTGATGGCTTGCTATATATGTGATGGTTGATGGCTTCTAAATATCTGCTTCATTGAGATTGTGGATATTCCATGCTTCCGTGTAGTTGCTGTGTTGTGGTTGTGGAGACCTCAGTGGTAGCTCAGCGATTACTGCAGACATTTGGATATTGCTACTGCTGGTATTTTGAAGTGTGTTCCTGTCTTAGCAGTATCTTTCACACAACTCCTTTGGAATTTGTCAATTCTGTGAGCATGTATGCGCTGTGGTATTTGTGGGTATGGAAAATGACTGTCTTATAAGTCAATCCTGGTACAACATTTTACCCAACAGCCAAGCTCTTGTTGTAGTACTTAGATGCATTTTACATCAGTGATTAACATATTTCTAGCTTATTCTGTTGAAGTTGACTAGCATAGCCTGTTAAGGTTTTAAGATCCAGGTGATGACATAACAAAATTAACTCATCAGAGCCGACTGAAAAGAACAGACATTATAGATCAAACCATGTGGTCTAATATGCTAGCCTCAGCTGTTGTCCCAGCCATCTCCTCTCTATACAGCTGCCAAATAACACTTTGCTGGAGAGAACAGATGCAAAAAGACTGAAGATGAACTAAGTAGACAAAAGTACACTGCCTAAAAAAAGATGGACAGTCAAGTGTATCATTATTCTGTTTCTTTTTTGCATTGAGTAAATACATCGAGCAAAGGCGAAATGAGCCTTTGTGTTTATGACATCTTGTACAGGTCGAATCCTTTCTAGAGTCCTCGGCAGATGAGGTGATCTGCCTACAAGAACTGATTTACAACAGACCTGCCTAAACTAAACCGTCCCTCGTGAGGTTTATTCCCGTGTAAGATCCAAGTACCATGATTTCCAGGCTTCAACATAATGGCCAAAAAGATCATTCAGCGCTGCATTCACAAAATGTAGGGGAACTGTGTAAGTTTATCAACAGGGTAAACCATATATTTGACACAAACAGCAAAAATGGCATAGTTAAAAGTTACTCCCTCCGTAAACTAATATAAGAGTGTTTAGATTACTACTTTAGTGATCTAAACACTCTTATATTAGTTTACAGAGGGAGTACTGTATTAGTTAAAACTGGAAATAACATCATGAGAAACTATACAACCACTTGTCAAAGACTAGAGGGCTGATGTCAGTTATTAAAACTAGATCACTAGATTCAGAAATTGGGATTTCTAGTATGGTTGTGAAAGTTCAATCCCTATTTATTTATTTTTTTGCCTTTTGGGATAAAGAGAAGGTTTGAGGGATTAAGTTTAGGGGATCTGCTAGAGATGCTCTAAGTATACTAATAAATTAAAAAAATTAAAAAACTTCCACATTTGGGCTAATTACCACCACTATTGAGAAAAAATTCAAAAAACCTCCACTTTTGAGGCTGGTTGGTAACAAATTGTGCTGATCCAAGGCTTAGTGCATTTGACAGTGAATCTGATGGGTGGGACCCATCTGTCGGGTTGGTGTGGCAAAGACTAGTCCTAGTCCCACCTGTCAGACATACATCTTTTTTCCCCTCTCTTCTCCTTCCTCCCCACCTATCTCTCTCCCTTACCAACGATCCTCCCCCTGCCGCTCTAATCTACTCCTTGAGCACAGCCCAGCCAGCGACCTCCGAGACGATTTCTCTATCTACTTCCACTGGTGACTACTCATGTTGAATTTGGTTGTCAAAAGACCAAATGGCAAATGCTATTATTGTCGGCTATCGTGGAACATGTTTACATACCCGTTTCAGTCAATGCATAAATACAAACAGGTATACAAACAAGCGCTAGAATGGCTACTCAAAGTAAAGGGGCTAAACTTCTAAAATTAATGAAACCATATAAAATTAATTTTGTCCTGAATTCCTGAGCTCCAGTTTCTTCTTGATCATGCATATCAGTTTGGATGTGAAGTGGCCAAAGTACTAGACATGTAGATTGCTACTCCCTCCGTCCCATAATATAAGAGTGTTTTTGACAGTACACTACACTAGTGTCAAAACCACTCTTATATTATGGGACGGAGGGAGTAGTAACTAATAGAGGATCAGAGAAGCACTTCAATGCATCCAGTGCAAAGAGAAGGGTAGATACCAAAACTGGCATCTCAAAACAAAATTCCATCCAGTGTAGTTTTCTAAATCCTAAATCTTAACTGTAAAAAATAAACATGTGGGGGCAATGTTTAGCTTACCATGATTTTGGTACTGTGGACGGAATGAAACAGCGAGATTCTCCCAGTCTTGAATGTTCTTCGTCTCATTCTCCCTCACTGACTGATCATCAACTTCATGTTTCCTTGCACCAGCAGGGTGGAAGGGCCCATAAACAAAGCCACTACTCTTCCCTTGCCCGAGCTGACTCTCGAAAGTTTTCAACATGCTGCTGCCACCTTGCATGAGTTTGGGTTTGTTCTCTGTTTCCAAGACTAACTTGCCCCTCTTATTGTCAATGTTTGTGATGTCGGTACCAAATGCCCTCTTGCTAGACATAATCTTCCTGGCTGGCGGTAAAGCAACCGTGACAGTGGCACCTTCCTTTCGCTTTGCCTGACCAAGCCACCGGAATGCAGGTTTTCTGGAGTCCACCTGCTGCGTCTGAAACAAACCACAAAACCAACCATGCTAAGAAAAATGATCACTTCCACAATTTGAAATGGCATGTGGTCAAGAGACTACCTTCTCGATGAGGTTCAAAGAAGATAGTACATTGGCAATGTCATACAGTCGACGAACTTTAGCTGTATTATCAACATCAGAATTGTAATGAGTTCCATTTGGATAGAAAAATCTGTTGCGACGACTAAGCAATGGATCCCATAAAATATAAGAAATGCAAGTACTGACTTCTCATGTTGCTCTCGGCATGTCTCTCTCCAAGGAGCAGCCTTGCAGCCTCATCAAGTGAGACTGTCTCAACCTGTGCCAGTAGTGAATCACATTGCAATTAACCACGAAGGACAAACCGCCTTAATGAAAAAAAAATCAGTGGAATTCTCAATCAGTTCACCTCCATGGTGAGGAAGAGCTTGACGAAATTCTGAGTGAGCAGCCCAAGCGACTTCTCCTTCCTATGATCTACTGATGTGGCATCAGAAACACTAATTCAGCACATAACATGATGGTCACTAGGCACAGCAAACCAATGAGAAAGTGATTGATCAGTCATACCAGATCGACGCGGGCACATGGGTGTGTCCGGCTTATCAGAAGCATTGTCTATTGACTGGCTAAGCTTCTCACTGTCAGCGTCCCCTTCTGCATCACCCAATTTATCATCGTCGTCTTCATCGTCCGACACCTTCACAACCACCATAAGAAAAGTCACTTCTTTTATCAGCAACAATCGCTGATTTGCATCACAACTAAAAGGGCCAAGTAAAACAAAGTGAAGAAATCTAACATTGGCAGCAGATGGTTCCTCCGGTGGCGGGGCTAATCCAGACATCTCTCTCAATGTCCTCTCCTGAACAAACGGGAAGAACAAAATAGGAAGCCATTAATCATTTTGGTATTTCAATGTAAACAGTCTATTTTTCTGAAACAATGTAAAGACTTGCCATTTTCATTAATTAATTGAGAAGAAGAGAGTTGCCCAGCTAATTAAGAGCAATCTTTAAGCCGTGTAGAATCAGCATAGATCAGAATAGGCGGATCCAAACCTTGAGTTCCTTGAGCGCGGCAGAGACGCCCTCAAAGCCTATCCATGTGTACCGATTCTTGGCCCTCCTCACGAGAATCTGCGTGATGCTCAACGAATGTCAGGGAAAGAAGAGGAGAACATAAACGAAACAGCGCATGGGTAAAATCGCATGCCAAGGACAAAAAAAGGTTTCTTTGTTATCAGGGCTCACCCCGACGCTCTCGAGCACGTTGACGATGTCGTAGATCCGGCGCCTCTCGACGCCGAGCCGCCTGGCGGCGTCGTCCAGCCCCACCGTCTCCACGTCGTCCCGGTCGTACAGCGCCACGAAGCTGCAAAGCCCGGCAGCGGCCTAGCTAGGTCAAAAACCGGCGAAATGCACAGCGCGTGTTGCGGAAACGAGAGAGCGGGGAGATCTCCCCCCTACTTGGAGCAGAGGAGGCCGAGGGACTTCTGCTTGCGGCTGTAGGCGTGGTGCCGGCAGGCCCTCGCGGCGGCGCCCGAGCCGCCTCCGGCGCCGTCGATGACCAGCCGCGGGGGCAGGTAAGGAGGAGGAGGGGGCGGCGGGGGCTGCGCGGCGGCCGCCGGAGCCCCGGCCGCGGCGGCGGGCTCCATCGCCGGTGGATGTCGAGGTGGAAAGGGTGGGGAGGGGCGAATTTTGTGGCCTTGTTTATTGGTGATGGGATCTGCGGGTTGGGTTTTGGAAAGGTGGAGGAGGGGAGGGGAGGGGAGGGCGGCGAGGACGTTGGAATGATTGCGTTTTGGCGCCCGCGGCGGCGGCGCGTTTTCAAACTTTTGCCCCCCTCCGCGCCGCCTCCCGTCCCGTCTCCCGCTCCTGCGCGGCGCGGTCGGTCTGGCCTAGCGGTGGTTAGGGCTAGCACCAGGTGGATTGTGGAGTCAGAGGCTGGTCCAGGAATAAAGAAAGGTAGAAATAGAAAACACCCTAAAAATATATACTTCCTCGGTCGAAATTACTTATTGCGAAAATTGATAAAAATAGATGTATTTAAAACTAAAATATATAGATCCATTTCTCCAACGAGTAGCTACTCTAGTGATTATAAAACGTCTTATTACATAGGTCATTGATTCTTTTAGAGAATGTGTGTTGTTTTTCTTTTTGCGGAGAGAAAATGTGTACTATTTATTTCTATAGAATATGATAGATGGTGTTGTAAAGGGCGGCTGCCTGAAAAGTGAAGGATTATCACGAGTAA